TATATATTTATGTAAAGTACATAAGTAAATCAATACGCATATGTATATATATATATATATATATATTTACATGTACATATATATATATATATTTATATTAATTAATTAATTAATTTATTTATTTATTTATTTATTTATATATTAATTTATATATACTACCGCTTGTTAGTTTGCGTTGCAGGTTTTTCTTAGTTTTTGCTGTCTATACACCTCAACTTTGTCTTTGATTTCATTTTTATTTTAATGCAGACAGCACTGCTGATGATATATCTGCTGCTGCTGGAGCAAACCCTGCATAACCTTTATTTAAGGGTTTAGGGTTTAGGGTTTAGGGTTTGGTGTCTTCAAACCCTAAACCCTAAACCCTAAACCCTACAACTGTCTCAACTTATATAACTTTTTTTTTAACAATAAAATTGCAGATCGCACAAAGAGGAAGAGATAAAGAAATATATTCAGCAGCAAATGCAGCTGTTTGTGTCTGCTGCAGCAGCAGCAGCAGCTGCTGCTGGACTGCTGCGTCGTTGATGCAGCTAGCTGCTGCAGCTAGCTGCGAAGAGATGCAGCTAGCTAAGTGCTTACTAGCTACAAAAAGCTGCAGCAGCTCGCTGCTGCTTCAGTGTACATGCAGCTTCTGCTGCTGTTAGGTGTATAAGCTGCTGCTGCTGCTGCAGCAGCAGCAGCAGCAGCAGCAGCCTTTCGGGGTGTATAGAGTAGGCAAGAAAGAAGTTGTTTAGAAGGCAGGAGGTAATATATAAATAAAAATAAATAAATAATAAAAAAGAATATAAAAAAAGAATTAAAAAACAAAAAAAAGAAGCAATGGTTAAATTTTTGCTGATTTTAAAAAACTTTTCGTCAAATTGCTGCAAATAATAAAATAAATTAAATTAAAATATAAAATAAATAATTAAATCCAAATTAATATTTTATAAGTTCAATAAATAGCCGCAACAAACCCTAAACCCTAAACCCTAATCAAACAACAGCAAAGCAAAGGAGCGACTCGGGGGCATGCGTTCACCACTCGAAACCCTAAACCCTAAACCCTAAACCCTAAACCCTAAACCCTAAACCCTAGAGTGTCCTTCCGTGCGTTTTCTTTGCTTATTTTTATATTTTTGTTCCTTTAAATATAATTTTCTCAGCAGCAAAACCCTAGGGGTCTCAACTCTGCCTTCTCGGCGGCGATCACCTAAACCCTAAACCCTAAACCCTAAACCCCAAAACAGGGTTTAGGGTTTATGGTTTAGGGTTTAGAATCTAGGGTTTAGGATCGGGGAACCTGGGGTCTGAGCGTCGTTCCCGCAAGCTTTATCCTCCAGCACCTGTAGAAGCAGATCAGCAGCAGCAGCAGCAGCAAGAGCTGCTGCTGCTGCTGCTGTTGTTGCTGTTGCTGCTGCTGCATTTTTATTCCCTCTTCTGGCGAGTACCACACGTACTTCTGCAGCAGCAAAAGCAGCAGCAGCAGCAGCAGCAGCAGCAGCGGCAGCAGCAACAGGCGAAGCAGCAGCAGCAGGTACAGCAGACCCAGCGGCAGTTGCAGCTACAGTAACAGCAACAGAAGCAGCAGCAACAGTAGAAACAGCAGCAACAGCAACAAAAGCAGCTGCAGCAATCAAAGCAGCAGCAGCAGCACTACCAACCTGAGTAGCAGCAGCAACAAGGAGGACAGCAGCAGCAGCTGCAGCAGAAACAACATAAGCAGCCGAAGCCGCTGCTGGGATAACAGAAGCAGCATCAGCAGCAGTAGCAGCAGCAGCTGCTGCAGGGCATTAGAGACGTTGAATTCTCATCGCGGCCTTATGAACTGTCTGGTGCCGCATGCATTGCTGCTGCTGCTGCTGGCAGCAGCAGCAGCAGCAGACGCAGCAGCAGGAGTGTCTGCGCAGCAGGAGCTAGCCTTGGATGAAGAAGCAGCACCAGCAGCAGCAGCAGCAGCAGCAGCAGCAGACTTTGACTATGGTGCAAAAGCATTCGAGAAGAAATTTAGGAAGCAGATAGGGGGTTTACAGGGGTCAACTGAAACAGCAGCAGCAGCAGCTGCTGCTGCAGCAGGAGCAGGAGGTCTGGACGCAGCAGCAGCAGACTCAACAGCAGCAGAAGCAGCAGCAGCAGCAGCAGAACAAGACTTCGGGGCCCTCTCTCCTTCTGATGCAGCAAAAATAACAAAGAGTTATGTGGATATACCCAAGAGAGGAGAAGAGCATCAACCTCATTGGAAAGTTAGAGCGCGCAAATTCCAGTGAGGGTTTAGGGTTTAGGGTTTAGGGTTTAGGGTTTAGGGTTTAGGGTTTAGGGGTTAGGATTTAGGGTTTAGGGTTTAGGGTTTAGGGTTTTAGGGTTCAGGGTTTAGGGTTTAGGGTTTAGGGGTTTAGGGTTCAGGGTTTAGGGTTTAGGGTTTAGGGGTTTAGGGTTAAGGTTTATTGAGTTTAGCGATGCTTGGTTTAGGGTTTAGGGTTTAGGGTTTCTGGGTTAGGTGTTTCATAGGGTCTAGATT